TTTGTGCAGGAAGTAACTGTGTATTTGCCATTATCTTGGTTTATATCAACGGCTGAATAGTTCACAACATCATGTTCACTGGTTAGCCAGTAAATCCGTTAGTAATACACTAGGGAAGGTTTAAGGCCAAAAGCTACCTATCCCGATGCAGTTACTTTCCAATAATACTCTCTCTAGTGTTTGTATCTTCTTCATTTACAATTTATGCAAATTTCCATTCACTTAGGGGATTGTTGGAAATGAGGGCGTTAAAAATATAAACTTTGGATGAGATTTTGAATAGATTCTGCTAAAATTTTTTTGTGGATCTATAAACGAGCGCATTCCTCTTCGCAAGGAGATGAATGTGGTATATTTACTTTCTCAAATCCGTTTCTGGGTGAATGAGAAATTAGTTCCAAAGTAAGGTGTTTGATAAGCCTAAATGGGTTTGCAAAATGTGGGAAATGTTTGTCCCACATCGAAAAAATATTAAAACCTAAAAGCACCATGAGGCCTATATAAACCCCCCTTGAGTTCATTCTAAAGCACTCCAATTCATAATTTTTTTCTCTAATTCTGAATTCTCTTATTCCTCTCTCTTCTTCTATAAGTGTTTGTGGGTACAAGCCCTTGTCTTTGGGTTCGAGCCTTAGTCAGTCACTCTGAGTCTAAGTTTGAGTAAGAGAGTACTACAATGAGCCGGTTCGCCTATTCCTTTGGTCTACAGTGATACTATTGAAGGAAGTAAAAGTTCTTGTATCATGGGAGATAGACGCCACTGAATCCGTTAGCACCATAGCGGGGCGAATCTATCTTAAGGATATAGAATCAAATTCTAGCTCCGACTTATTTCCAAGTTATTTTATTTATTTTATTTTATTTTATAAGGTATTATATATATAGATATAGATTATTATTTTATAATAATAATTATATATATACACATATTATATTTATGCATAATATTTAAATAGTAATACTATAGTGTATGGTATACTTAGACCATATTTTGGACTACAATCTTAAGACAGATTCCGCTTATACTATAGTTTAATTATTTAAATATTATTGTTATTTTATTTCTATAAATTTGATTGTGGTCTGTGTATTTAATATATATCAGACGAATGGCAAGTACAAGTACTACTATGCCTAATGTTCCCGTCAGTCATGGGGAGAAGCCCGAAAAATTTAAAAGGGCGGAGTTTAAAAGGTTGCAACAGAAAATGATGTTCTACCTTACAACTTGAAATCTGAGCAAGTACCTAGCGGAAACTGCCTCAGTGCTAGAAGAGGAAGAAACTGACATTACAAAGCTAGGAGCTGTTGATGCATCGAAGTATGGAGACTTCCTATGCAAGAATTACATCCTTAATGGATTGGACAACACTCTATAGCGCGAAGTACTGAACCTCTAGCATTAATTCACAGTGACATATGTGACTTTAAATCTATGCCAACTAGATGTGGGAAAAAGTATTTCATTACTTTTATTGATGATTACACAAGATACTATTATGTATACTTGTTAAGAAATAAAGATGAAGCCTTGGAAATGTTTAAACATTGTAAAAATGAGGTTGAGAATCAACTTGGCAAGAAGATAAATGTGTTTAGAAGTGATAGAGGTGGTAAATACGAAGCACCATTCGCTGACATTTGCTTAGAACATGGAATGATTCACCAAACTACCGCTCTTTATTCACCTCAACAGAACGGTGTTGTTAAGTGCAAAAACCGTATCTTAAAAGAAATGATGAATGCTATGTTAATAAGTTCTGGTTTAACCTAGAGTTTGTGGGGGGAAGCTTTGTTTTTTGCTAATTATGTTTTCAACAAAATAACTCAAAAGAAAACAAATGTGACACCTTATGAATTATGGAAAGATCAAAAACCTTCCTATAAATTCTTAAAAGTGTATAGATAGACCGCATATTTTTGAACTACATATATATATGTGTGTGTGTGTATATATATATATATATATATTTTTTTTTTCCAATGTGTTCTTCTCTTAAATTAAGATCATTGTTTAAAATAGTGAAATCAAATTTAAAGACTTCTTGCCATCAAAATTGAAGGACGAATATGCCTCTCTCCTCCACCGCCGCCATCACTTCAGTGATTTGTATATGAAAAATCAGAAAGTGTGGGGATGACGGGGCAGTTGTGGTCATGTGGTGTAAATTAACCCCAAAATAACCCACCCAATCCCAACTCATCACCAATCGCCGCCGCCACCACAACCAACACTGTCCTCAAGCTGCAAGACCCATTCGTGAACCCAAACTATAACTGCATGATTCGATCCCAAACAACAGCCTCTCATCGCCAACGATCTCACCAGAATCTGGCATAATCTTCTCAAGCTTTTGTCGTCATCAACTGTCATGCATCCCCGCACTAGTTCATCCCATAGTCAAACCCTAACACCAAATCAATCACAATCTCAATTCTTCTCTCTCCAAAATTCCACTTCATCACTTCCCGACCACCATGACCCCTGCAATCAATTTGCCCTATTTTTGCTTTCAATCGACTCTATATTTTGAAATGGGTCTAATGTATACATGTATATAGATCAACCGGCAATTGGTGGGTTAAATTTGACCTCACAACTTTAAGCAATGTTCTTAATTTAAGAGAAGATTCAACACACAGAAAAATATATATAAATATGTGTAGATGTATACTTGCTGTGGGAGAGCGACACACTTTTTTTTCTTTTTTTTTTTAAGGCAAGTGAATGGATTTTTATTATCTGGCGTCATTTTTTTTTTTTGTTTTAATTTTTTTTAACACATATTGAAGTTTTACCACCTCAACATAAAAAGGAAATTACTACCGCCTAGGACAAGCAGTATTCTAAAATTAAATGTTCCCCATGGTCTGTAATATCATTATTAATGCTTAGTTGAATATTCACTGTGGACTACAAAAGTTTGAAGAAGTCGTAATATTTTGAATTAAATAAATATAAGTCAATGGTCATAGCTATTGACATTTCTGTCCCTATATGGAAAACTTCTTTGATATCCTTCTGAAATACATGAGTAAAATATAATATTTCATCAATAAAATGAAATAAATAATTGTCCCAGTAATTCAACTTCTCAAGAATTATAAAATCCTTAATTTCCTAAATGGTAAGGAGAGGGTAAGCTGGTGGAATTCAAAGGCCAACCAGTTTAGATTCAAATTAGGATGGAGGTCGGTAAGAACCATAAGATGACGAGAATAACCATTAATTTAATTTTAAAAGAGGATGAATTGGATTTGATTTCAAAAAAATCTCCCGAGAATTGCAACATCTTGGAGGAGGATGACGAATTATAAAGGCCAAGTTTTACCAATCAAAAAGGTATGAAAAATTAAATATAAATGAAGCCAAAGTCAATTAAGTTTGGGCTATATATTGTTTTTTGCCACCATTTCTCTCCTAAAAACAAAACCAACTAAAATCAACACCCTTGTTGTTTATTCCTTCTAAATGCAAGCTTGATTACATTGTTTAATGGTTGTTGGAATTGATGAATATGCATTGAAATTTATTTGACTAGAAAACTAATTGAAACGGAAATATGAGGAAGTTTTAATTAAAATATCAATTAATGTGAACGTGTTTTTTTAATTTGTTTTTGGTGGTATTTTGAATAATTTTTTTTTTTTAGTTTATTGTGTTCAAGCCAACCCCCTCTGAACTTTTTTCTGCCTCGGAGTGTGATTTTTGTTTGACTGTTGAATGCAGATACCTCCATAGTACAGTGGATTAGTACCTTGGATAGATTTTGGAGTTTCAGATTTTGACTCCCTACATCTATTAATCTAACTTCTAATACTTCTTGCCTTGTAAAAAAAATAAAATAATAATAAAAAATAAAATAAAAAACTAAACTACACAAACACAAACAAACTGCTATATAGAACTTTTTTTTTTTGGGTAACTAAAACAGACTATAAATTATAACTAAACAAACATATACTTTATTTGGCTCCAATAATTACATGAACATATACTTCATCTTCTCCTGGGACCCTAATTTATGCCAATACAACACATTTTTCACTACTATGCCATTTTGTCTCCCCCAAGGGTATTTTGATAATTTGAACTACACTATTACATTTTTTTTTTTTTTTTTCGTGGCAAAAATAAAGAACATAATATTACCAAACAAAAACCATTAAAATATCCAAGCCTGCCTTTTAACAATATATATATATATATATATATATATATATATATATATATCCAACAAAACATTATTGGGGAGATTCAAAAATCTCATCACAAGTGAGAGCATCAGACAACCCAGGATGAGCCAAGGATATTCTTTCTTCTCTTCCCCATGATGACAAAGGTGGAATGCTCTGTTCATTCGTGACGAAATTAGCAGGATCAACCATTGTCTTCACATGTCCCAGTCTCTCGAAGTTACTCTAGAAATACTTCACAGCTCAAATGCTTGCTTGTGTGTTGCCTTTATCATCCACACCCAGGGACAGAGCTAGGATTTTATTTCGGGGGCACAATGCATTTGTCAAAAATAATAATAATAATAATAATAATTATGATATATAGGAAGTATAATTTTTTTAAATCAAAAGGGCAAATAAGAAAAAAAATGGTTGTAAAATAATATACTAAATAAATACTGTAAAAAAAATATAGTTACAAATATAAGAATCAAAATATTAACTAATAATATTTTAATTAAATACAATCACAAATGTCATCGATAAAAATAAATAAGTTTAAAAAAATAAAAAAATACATAAGTGGAAAAAGAATTTTTTTTGAAAAAGGAAACAAAAATTAGAAAAGGAAAAATATATTGTATACTTGAAGAAGGGATATATGTAACTTTTTTTTTTTCAAAAGAATATTAGAAGAATTTGAAAATTTGAGGGGGGCACTGTTTAAAATAACCATATAAGTATATGTATGTACCAAAAATATGTACCTATATATAGTAGGTTGGAGCAAAGTGAGGGGGGGCACGTGCCCCCTCTGGGCCTTAATTGGCTCCGCCCCTGTCCACACCTATGTCAAAATCTCTAAAGTTGAGAAATGCACTTCTTGGAAACTTGGTAACAAATGGAGTCGTGTAACTGTAAAGCCTTCTGATCCAACTCATATGCCTTTCAGATGCTTCTGTCCTTTTTTCTAACCAAACCACTACATAATGAATGTTGTATATATTCCCAACTCTATGAGGGACAGGTGTTTCGGATTCCGAAATCTCACTCATCCTTCCACCATAAGGACTCAACGCCATCTCATCCATATTCTCCTTTTCTTCATAAAACCTCTCCCATATGTCTTCTAGTCCATTCTCTGAAATCGGCTCCTTCACGACTTCCCTTTGAAATAGGATCCCGCTAAGCTGACTCCTATCCAACAAAACATCAATGGAGTCTTGACTAGAGTAGCCTGCAAAGTAAAGGGTCGATTCGATCCAGCTCATTTCAATACAATCTTCTTTCGACATACCCAATTTAGGAAAGCTACTTTGCATCAATGGAAAGAGTGTATCAACTCTATCAAGGTACAAGGACACCAACGAAGCTCGTGTCGTTTTTCCACCATCTTGAGTACTAGACTTCATAATTCTTATGAAGACTCTCATGAAGAAGTCATCATCAAATTTGTCCACAATGTATTGCCACCTATGGACAAGATTGGTTGCATTTTGTTCCAAGGTCCTGCTGATCGTGAAAACTGTCACAATGGATGGAACAACAACCAAATTTATCTTCCATGCAAGAATGACTCCAAAACTAGCACCCCCACCTCCTCTAAAAGCCCAAAAGAGGTCTTCCCCCATGGATTCTTGTAGATACTAAAATTTCATGAACTTTTGTTTTGACAAATTGACCATTAAATATGGGTTAATGTTTAATTAAGTTATTTAATTATCCTAAACTTGGTCCACTTAAATTATTTAATTAGCCTAGTCTAGATGATTAAATGAAAAAATAATTATTCCTAATAAAATATATTTGGAATAATTATTTTCAAGGATAATTATCATAATATAACCGGCCCGGCCCAGTTATGATTTTATCCTTATCAAAAGAAGACACGTGTCATCATCTTATTAATCCAAGAAGCCTATAAATAGAGGCCTGGAGGAAGAAGGAAGGGGTCCACAAATTCAGAGTCCAGAAATCCAATCTAGAAGGTCCAGAAATTGAAAGATTCATAAATCTAGAGGGCCAAAAATCCAGAGAGAAATACAGAAGCCCTGCCGACATTCATCCCCAACATCCAAACCCAAAAACAAAGAACACCAAGCACATCAAATCGTGTTGTTTCTCATCAAATTCTACGGTGATCAACAACAAGCATATCAAATCGTGCCGTTCTTCATCAAATTCCACGGTGATCAACAAAAAACACATCAAATCGTGCCGTTCTTCATCCAAATTCCACGGTGATTCAAAATTAAGCTCGTGCAATCCAACTGACAAAAAAATGAGATCGAATCAAAGGACCTTATTCTTTGTAAAGAATATTACAGATGATTGTACTCTAAATTTTTTAAATTAATAAAATATTATTTTTTGCTCCATATTTTGTTCTTATTTGCAGACTACAAAATTTGTGTGTACAATTCTCTATCAAGAATTCTACCGTTAACATCGATTATTAGAGCATCGATGACATTATCTACAGCAAGGCCGTGTTTACGCGACAGTGTGCTATCCCTTCCCTTACTGATGTGTCCATCAACACCAACACATGAGCAAACACCTGCCGGAAAAGCAAGAGTTCTGTTCTTCTGAGCAATGCTGTGGTAGACTTCACCTAGGGTTGCACCGACTTGAACCTAAGCAGAGCTACTTTCAGTGTCGATAGTGATTTTTCGAAGGTTTATGAGATAAACTATGAAAAATGGGATGTATGCTATGTTTTTTTGAATAATAGATGATTGTTTGAATGTGAGACTCATGCAAAGGTGTGACAATCACCACTGGTTTTGGGGTACTTGGTGATATGAATCTTAGGTTAGGTTTAGAGAAATCTAATATGGATAGATATGAAGAGTTGTTTGGGGTGTGAATGAGTTTGGAGAGGATGTGGAGTTTTGAGAATGAAGAAAAAGGCATTCAAGAAAATCTTCAAGGCTATGAGTAGAAACTACCCATGAAATTGAGAAAACAATATATTCAAGTGAAAACAACAAAGCTCTTGGTGGCTTTATCATCACTTCTTTAATGATATACATTTTGTGTATAAGAAGAATTATTAATTGGTCTGTTATTTATAGCCCTCAGGCTAACAATAGATTTTAATCATATAATATGATAGGGAAAATAAACCTATCTTGACCTAACAATAGAGGCAAACAAGTGTTGACTAGCCACCAGATCTTTTCGGTGATCAACGATAATATTTTGTTATTAGGGGTAACGATTTCTATGGATAAGAATGATGACAAATCTTATGCAGGAAAAGATTTCCATGGGGATGATGACAAATCTTATCAAGGATAAGATTTCCATGGGATAAGGATGATGAAATTCCCTTATCGAGAAGAAGGGAAGCGACCATAAATAGGCCGACGACTCGAGAATAAGGTACGACGAAAAAACTATGATTAAATCCCTGCCTTCTTTTTAGACCTCTGGTGACTAACTTGATCGTCAGAGAGCTCTTGGCAGGCACCACACCGGTGCTGTCAAGGTTCATCGATCTTCTCCTCTTTCCCTTGTAGGTAAACGGTGTCGTATCGGACCGTGTGAATTTCACCCTCAACAGTTGGCGCTGTCTATGGGAACGACGATTCCCTTGAATCAATTAATTACTCTGTTGGGTATATATATGTTTGCAGTCTGGTATGGTTACTGAAGGAACACCGTCGCAAGGATTTGGTCAAAGGGTAGAGTCGGGTGAAAACCTGGATGTCCCAAACAACCAGACATGGTTTGCAGCATTGGAACTGCAGGTCCAAACTCTGAGTCAGGGTATGGACCAGTTGATCTAGCAAAATGCAGCGCTCTTGCAACATCTTGTTCCACAGGTTCAACAAAACTTGCCACGACAAGATCTCTCAAATCCAAATGGAGGTAATGGAAATTTTGAAGAGCAGGATAATCATTCCCCCCAAAATGAGACTGAAGTGGAACAAAGCCAAGTGGGAACCCGACATAGAGAGGTGGTCCACCCATCTTTCCCACGGAGTTCCTGACTTCCTGAAAGCACAGCCTTCTGTCTTAAGGAAAAGACAAAGAAAGTTACCTATCTCGACCTGCAGATTGAGGATCTCAAGAGGAAAATGGAAGATGTAATGCAGGCTCTCAAAGGGAAAGGTCCTGCCGCCGTAGATGACCTGGTACAAAGGACCAACTTACCGTTCAGTGTCGCCGTTATGAAATGTCCACTACCTAGCAAGTTCAGGATGCCCTCGTTCGAAAGCTTCGATGGGACCAAAGATCCCCTCAATCACCTAGAAACTTTTCAAGCTCTTATGCATTTACACGCTGTGCCAGACGAAATCATGTGCCGAGCATTTCCTACTACACTTAAGGGATCAGCAAGAGTTTGGTTAACAAGCTGAAGCCAGGAACCATTAACACCTTCAAAGAATTGAGTAAGAAGTTTGTGAGCCATTTCATTACAGGTCAGAGGCATATGAGGCCGGCTACCTACCTATTTACCGTGGAACAACAAAAGGAAGAGTCGATTCAGGAATACATCACCCGATTCAACGCAGAGATGTTGCAAGTAGAAGAAGTGGATGACAAGGTAGCTTTGGCCGCTTTCATAGGAGGACTCCAAACCTCCAGATTCTTGTTCTCCTTATCAAAAGAACCTCCCACAAGCATGATAGAGTTGCTGATCAGAGTGCAAAAACACATCAACGCTAAAGACACCATGAGTGCACGGAAGGAATGAGAGGACAAGAAGAGGCCAGCCCCTCTCGCCAGGAAGGAAAATAATACCAAATATAAGAGATCATTTTTTAGCCAGAACGATAGCACATATCATGATAAGGACTCAGATGAGTATACCGACTAGAAATTGTCTCATGGCTGCAATTAGCCTTATCAAGTCATTCACAATAAAGACTAGAGGCATCTTAGTTAATCATTTTAAATAGAGGATAGCTCCCTCACGTGTTATCTTGTTTTTAATAAACATTGAGGCAATAATGGTCTTTAATAAAATTCATTTTAGTTGCCTTGATTCTTGGTCAATTATCTTTATACGTGCAGTATCCCCGTACTATAAGGGATAGTAAATGAGTGTCCTGTATTACAAGGACCCGGGCTGAGTGAATCCCGTAATCCGTATCCCCGTAGTATAAGGGATAGTAAATGAGTGTCCTGTATTATAAAGACCCAGGCTGAGTGAATCCCGTAATCCGTATCCCCGTACTATAAGGGATAGTAAATGAGTGTCCTGTATTCCAAGGATCCGGGCTGAATAAATCCTGTAATCCATGTCCCTGTAATATAAGGGATAATAAATGAGTGTCCTGTATTACAAGGACCTGGGTTGAATGAATCCTGTAATTAATATCCCCTTATAATAAGGGATAGTAAATAAAAATACTTTACTAAAGGGGTGAGTCGAGTAAAACTCGTAAAGTTCAATTCCCTTATTAAAAGAGTGACGACCTGAGTAAAACTAGTACCCAAGGGTACCAAAAATAGTACCTAGGGGCAGAGCACCCCAGGGGAAGATTATCCAAGGGTACTAAAATTAGTTACCAGGGGAAGAGTACCCAAGGGTACTAAAAATAGTATCCAGGGGCAGAGCACCCTAGGGGAAGATTACCCAAGGGTACCAAAAATAGTATCTAGGGGCAAAGTACCCAAGGGTATTAAAAATAATACCCAGGGGCAGAGCACCCCAGGGGAAGATTATCCAAGGGTACCAAAAATAGTACCCAGGGGCAGAGTACTCAAGGGTACTAAAAATAGTACCCAGGGGAAGAATACCCAAGGAAACTAAGAATAGTACTAGGGGCAGAGTACCCAAGGGTACTAAGAATAGTACCATGGGCAAAGTACTCAAGGGTACCAAGAATAGAACCCAAGGGAAGCGTACCAAAAAAAAAAAAAAAAAAGGTTATTGTTCATATAAACAGTACCCGCGGTTACTGTTCCCAGGGCAAGGGAAAAAAATAAACAAAAACTGTTAATGTTTATATGAACAGTACCCGCAGGGGCAAAGAAAAAAAAAAAAAAATTCCCTACAGTTTAATGAAAAGTACCCGCGGGCACTATTTGTGATACCCCTCGGATCCGAGACACGGGTTGATCAGGCCCAGGCCCAAACCCGAGGGAATATCAAACAATTAAAGTATTTTAAAGCGAACACAGATGACAAAATGAAATAATAAAGATGGAATAAAACTAAAAGAAACATTAATTATAAAACCATCCATGCATAACTGAAAAATAAAACCCCAGTCCTCCAAAACTTCAAGGTTACAATTTGGGAATCCACTAGTGGACCCCTAACCAAAAGTTCAACTGAAACTGAAACTGAAAATAGATAATGCTAGAAACATCGAGAGAAATCCTACGTAAACAGATGAATGTGAGACTGTCCTTGACAAGCACGATCAAGCTCTAAGACTGGAACCGTCCTGTACCTGAAAAGAACAATAAATGAGTGGGTCAGACCCACGAGCAAGTTCTAATCTAACTGCAATCCATACAGTGACCCGATACGCAGATACACCGTAGACACCTAACAATATCTATCTAGTCCACACGTATAAATATATCCATACTAAGGGACATTGACTAGTCTATAATAGGGGTCTCAACCTGAATAGAAGGCAACATGCGAATGCGCACCCAAAGGTGG